AGGTCCTACTCAAAAAACTTTTTGATTCAGAAGCTCATAGACTATTTTTTGTTCTACATTTACTGAAATAAAGAGAATTAATTAGCTAATGATAATGATGCAAACGAAAGAGCTAGTCTATTACCTGGGTGCTCCTACAATCAAGAAGAGAAAATAGATATTATCCAACATCAGAGACCATCCCCACCACATCGATCAGACTTCCGTGTACTGATTGCCCACCACATCGATCAGACTTATGGCCATGTACTGATTACCCAGGAGAGCTATGAATCCAGTATCCATGTATCAAAAACGAAAATAAACAAGCTGAAATAAAAGCCTCCCTATCACCACCACTTGTATCACTGATCATTATATCTCCATGCTCATTGGCCGCTTGCCCGCTTGTAATTCAGCATACATAAACAAGAGCAGTACAACTAAAGAAAATAGTTTTTTTATTCGCAATATACATTCATATCGCTCTCAGCTAATGCGTAATTTACCTGATAATATACCATTTCTGTCTGCATCACAGTGGAAACAAGCAGACAAAAGTTCAGGATAACAAATCAATTTTTGGCACAAAAAATAGCAATTCTACTTGTATGCAAGCACTTGAATCAAGTTGTATCACCGTGTGAATGCATTGATATGTAGAACAGCGAGCAGCAAAAATAAATAATTAAGATGCAAGCCGACAGGAGAGGGAGAGCTTTTTTACTCTTATGAGCTCCGTGGAGAATTCATCAGCTGATTGTACTATGTGCCCACGACTTCAATGTCTCTCCTCGTCCATCCATCATTGGGGCTGGTACTACCGGCCGGTGCTGCTCGCCATCACTGCAGCAATAATATCCTCGTGGAAGAGGCATGCAGTAGCACCAGTCCTCCCGTCCTGGTGGAGACCACAACCACGACGAGCTGCTCCTACGAGTGGCCCTCGGCCCGGCTCTCCGCAGCACAGCCGCATCACGTGGCGGAGGAGGCCGCTAGCACCTGCCGCTGTCGGCGACCTCAACGACGTTGATGCGGCTCGACGCCTGGCCTGCACGCGCAAGCGGCAGCCTCGGCACGCTCACCGTCCACGACGACGGTGACTCGTGACGCCCGCACCCGCAAGTTGCCCCCGACGAGACGGCGACCTTGGCTGCACCGACCCACTGGAGGGACGGCTAGCGCATAGTGTGCGCGGTGGCCCCCGGCCCGGATACCTCTGCTCCCGGCTGAGACGTGCCCGGTGCACACGGCGGACAGCGGTCTGCGTCGCGCGATGTCGCTTCCCGGCACACGGGGGCGAGGGAGCGAGGCGGCCAGCTCCGACTGGCAGAGTCCCCTCGCCCGTGGCATGGCGGCGATGGGCAGCGAAGCCATGGTGGTAGCCGCCTGTGTTGGTCGTGTGTGAAAGGGATCGAAGCTGCTGGGAATTTTCTATTCGTGGAACGGGAGCCACGACAAGTGAATATGTGGTGATTTGCGATATAGGAGTATTAGGAAAGTTCTGATTCCATCATGATGCAGGAGTATTAGTAAATTGATTTTTTCCTTAAAGTCAGTTATTTGTTTCCTTAAAATTTGTTATTCGTTTCCCAAAGCAAATTGCATTGATGAGATTGATCGCTTGATTTGGATAAGTTGGCAATAGGAAAGTATTTGTTTACAAGAAAATAGTGGAGAAAAAGTAAACCGGTCAGATGGTGGAAAGGGAGACGAAAATAAAACTTGCAGAGCCCCCTCACGTGTGGCATGGCGGCAATGGGCAGCGGCGCCATGGTGGTATCCGCCGGTCGTGTGTGAAAGGGATCGAAGCTGCTGGGAATTTCCTATTCGTGGAACAGGAACCACGACAAGTGAATATGTGGTGATTTGCGATGTAGGAGTATTAGGAAAGTTCTGATTCCATCATGATGCAGGAGTATTAGTAAATGGGACTTTTTTCCTTAAAGTCAGTTATTTGTTTCCTTAAATTTTGTTATTTGTTTCCTAAAGCAAATTGCATTGATGAGATTGATCGCTTGATTTGGATAAGTTGGGAAAGCTAGAATCTGTCTCTTTTTGTACAATAGGAAAGTGTTTGTTTAAAAGAAAATAGTGGAGAAAAAGTAAACCAGTCAGATGGTGGGAAGGGAGACGAAAATAAACCGGTTGAAAATAAACCAGTCAAAAGTTGAGGGACTATTCAACCAACTCATCCATTAGGAGTAGAGATAAAAGAGAACACTATGAGCATCTGACAATGAAAAAAAAGAATGGACACGAAGAAAAAAAGACACAAAAAAACTTCAGCCGACTTGAGTGCTTTCTTTTTGGGCCAACGCCAGCCGACAGAAGAAAACACTTGATTGGATTGCGGCCCATGAGTGAGAAATGTCATTTCTTTTTGGGCCGGGGTCCGGCCATGGCAGGCAGGTACTCCAGTCCCTTGTCTCAAAAAAAAAGGTACTCCAGTCCCACCGTCGGCCTCCGTGCTCCGGCCACCGACGCGTTCCCGTCGGCGTCCCCGCCCCTGCCCCCAACTCCAACTCCAAGCCGCGCCGACCGTCCACTGCTCCTCCCCGTCGCGAAGCCCCACCACCGTGCAACTACCTCGATTCCCAGTGCCTCAGGTTCGTTAGTAGGTGCTGCCTCGTGCTCTCCCAATCTAATGGATCCTACAACTTCTGGTGATCGACGCCATGGCCATGGATGAGGAGACTTCCGTGGCTGCTGCTGATTTGGATGGTTTGAGCATCGATTTCAGGGACAAGAGTCGCAAATTTGGAGGAGGGAGGCCACCGCACACTACCTATTCGACGAAATGCCTACAAGGCCACAACACACCGCATCGACATTTTGTTCTCCCCCTCTCGCCGGCAAGGAGACGACACCCATCTAAAAGGCTTGCTGAGAAGGTATTGCTGAATCCTGAATCTAGCCCAAGTGCTTTCATACACCTTTGGATTATTTTCTCTTCTTATTCTGTACAATAGGTCTTTTTTGTACACTTTCAGAAGTTCCTGTTAGGTAAAGGTTGTGTTCTTATCTGCTTAGCTTACTTGTTATAGAGACTGCTGATATGGAAGGCTAGCAACTTCTTGACATGGACAAGATAGAATTGTGAATGCTATTGTTGCTCCATGCTCCTGGCCTTAGTTAAATTTATCTAGTTGGTTATCCTGTAGCATTTAATCATTCTTTTCTGCGGCAGCAGCCTATTTGTCTGGTTCTAGTGCTCTAATCTCTATACTCCACATGCTTTTCTACTGGTATGGACGGCAGTGTGACATGCTGTACAGCAAAATATACAATCTTGACCAAGTTTCTTTCGCATCAGAGAGAATGAATGATCCTCAACAGACTGTATGTTGCCTTAGTTTCATATAGGGTCCTTGGTTGGTAGATTCTGATACCTAGCTCCCAGATTTATGTTGAAGTGTCTTTCATTTAACAGATGACTGCAATGAGCCAATGAAGGCCGCCAATAAAGAGCTGAAAGGTATGATGAAGATTGTCAGGATTGAAGATAATCTCATCTGAATCCATACCTGCTTTCATAATTCTTGTGCAGGAGGATGAACTAGGACTGCCTGCAGTGCTTTGTTTGTGCATGGACAAATTCGTTGTATTTTTCCTCATATATTACTGCCAGTCGTTGAAGAATGGTAAATGGAGCTGTTCTCTGTACGGTTGTACATCTTGTTCTTAGTATGTCTGTGATTACACTAGGTGAGTTGAATTTTTAGGTGAATCGGTACCTACTTTCTTGGTAAAAAGATTATGGGATATGTTCATACCAGACTCTTCATGTCTATGATTGCAGTAGCTTAGCTCTCACTGTTGTCTGTCATCTGGGACTTTGCATATCATATCATCTCATCCTTTGTTAAGCTTTTATTAGGCATGAATAAAAAATAAGGTTGTATCTCTGTTCCATTTCAATCTCGCCAATCAATGTTTGAAATTTAGTGTAGTAGTAAATTATTTGTTGTTGCATCTGAAGGACGAGGACTACATACTCCTGGATACAATGCTCCATCGTAAGGATAAGGAGTTCATACTCTTGCCATACAGCCCCACATAAGTTCTATTGCTTAGTCCTATGGTAATTTTCCTTTTTTATGCACCTAGCTTCGTGTGTTTATATTTATTTTTTCATGTTTACGCATCGACCACTTACAACGAGTCATGAACTCATCCTGAGGCATAGGGAGGGAGAAGAATCAGTGGACACTCAGGATGTTTGCGTTGCGTAAACCGTTGCAGCTTTTCTGCTTTGTTCTCCTCTTTATTTAAACAGCTCATTAGCTCAACTAATAGCTAACATAAAGATCCTAATCTTGCGCCATGACCAAGCTTCACGGACATGCCATCCCACGTCCCTTGATCATGCCTCAAGCTCTAAGCCGCTACAGCCGGTACTCGTGCCATCCCACGAGGCGATCGTAATAGCATGCAACTACTGATCTGGCCATGTCGTGATCAGGCTCATGCTGCATGGATCGGTTATTGTTTTTGCTAGAAATAAAATCTACGAGACGACATGAGATGATTACAGACTTTTACATATATAGATGGTATATGAGTGACTTGAGGCAAAACATAAACCTAAATCGGCTTCCACAATGATAGACCTTGGCTTCTCACTAGAATTCAGATCATATATCAACATGCATCACTCCCTTGCTGTAATGTAAGTGCGCTGAAAGGCACGGGGTAGGAACTGGAAGTGGGTCGCTGGATGAGTGTTTGGTATGCCTCTCGCATGGTTGGCCTTGCTTGTGGAGAGGATTCCAAGCAAGAAAAGGCCATCTTGATGAGGAGAGCTAAGCTATTCTCTTCTGTTGTTGTTGGTGTTGTCGGCCGTTGGTCTAGAATATCTTTTACTAGCATAGCTTGTTCCCCGCTCAACAAACTACCGTCTAATAGATCCCTTGGATGCTTCCCCATCACTAGCTCTAGCACAACCACACCGAAGCTATAGACATCACATTTCTCCGTCACAACAGATGTGCACGAGAGTTCTGCACAGAATCAAAACATTAGAGCTAGGAACAAATAGATAGAGATAAATGCTTCAGATCTGAGAAGGAAGGTTATACTAGTACATACCAGGAGCTATGTACCCATACGTCCCTGCTAGTGCACTCCAGTTTGATGAATCAGGCTTAAGAATCCTTGCTGTGCCGAAATCTGAGACGAAAGCCTTGAAGGTTGCATCAAGTAAGATGTTGTTGCTCGTTATATCTCGATGGATTATAGGTGGACTGCATTCGTGGTGCAAATAAGATACTGCTTGAGCCACATCATTTACAGCAACAATTCTCTTCTGCCAATCCAATTCCTTTGCTAGCTCCTCATTTTCCAACGTCCGGTGGAGGCTTCCTTGCGGAATGTAGTCGTAGACAAGAAATTTATACGCTGAATGGGAGCAGAATCCATACATTTTGACAATGCTTCGTTGGCGGATCTGTAATAAGATTTCCATTTCACTGCGAAACCTTCTTTCGTCATCCAACTCTTCTTCTGTCTGATGAAGCTTCTTCACAGCAACTAGCTGACTGTCTTGGAGTTGTGCCTTGTAGACATTGCCGTATCCTCCTGTTCCAATGATGTACTTATCATCAAAGTCTTCCGTTGCCCTTACGATATCGTCAAATGCTAATCTTCCGTCGAAATTCCAAACAGAGAATAGGTCCCTTCCTTCAGCAGTAACAACTTCTTGTGGTTTTGTCTTGTTACGACTAAGCACTATTATGACAACAGTTGCAGAAAAAATGCCAAAACCCACCACAAGAACAATTGGCAAAAGCAAACCAAGTATCTTCCGTTTGTGGTGACCGGCTGGAACTGGAGTTGAATCACAAAGTTGTAGGCCAGAGAGGTTACCACACAGACCTTTATTGGGAAGAAACCAATTTGCTGAAGCATTTTGGAGTTGCCTGAGTGTTGGGACTGGTCCTTCCAAGTCATTGTATGACACGTCAAGCGTTGAAAGGCTCACCATGCTTGCAAAGGAGGATGGAATGGTGCCACCGAACTGATTATGTGATAGATTCAGAAATTCTAGCATCTGCAACTTCCCAAGTTGTTGCGGCAACACACCACTTAGGTTATTGTTGCTCACGTCTAACGTGATTTGCAGGCCTATCAAATTTCCAATTGCACCAGGCAAACTCCCACTGAAGTTATTGTTGTTGATCTTCAAGGACAATAGTATGATGCAAGTCGCTAGTTCCTCAGGTATTAATCCACTCAGTCTATTCCTAGATATATCAAGGTATCCTAGATTTCCTAGCTTTTCTATCTGTGCAGGTATGGATCCAGATAATTGGTTCGATGATAAGTTTAGTCTATAGAGATTTGTTAAACTGCAAATTTCTGGTGGAATCTCACCTCTGAGATGATTATAATCAAGTCTTAGTTCTTCCAGCTTGGATAATTTAGAAAGGATAGGAGGTATGAAACCCGTGATCATATTTTGTGCTAGACGTAGTACCATCAGTTGGCTACATGCACCTAGATTTTGGGAGATCTGCCCAGAGAGTCTATTTGATGACAAGGCCATCCTTGTGAGTTGTGGATAGACACCAAAATGCTGAGATATATCTCCTGTTAGTTGGTTCGACTGAAGGTCAATTCGAACCAAACTTGTACATTTCTTTAAACTACTTGGAATAGGGCCATTGAACATATTAGAGAAGACAACTATTTGTTCTAGTCTACCACCTGAGCATATATTTGCGGGTAAAGGTCCTGAAAGTGAGTTTCTAGATAGCCCAAGTCGAACAAGGTTTACGAGATCTCCGAATTCTCGAGGAAGAGAACCTGATAATTTGTTATCATAGATTTGTAGTTCTTGGATGCTTTGCAACTTCCCAAAGGTTTTTGGTATTGATCCTGAAATATGGTTCTGATACAAGCCTAATAGTTCGAGGCTCATCAGATTGCCAATCTCTTGGGGAATGGAACCGGTTATCTGATTTACATCAAGGGAAAGTACTACCAGCTTGGTTATATTTCCTAAGCTGCCAGGAATAAAGCCAGATATTTGGTTGTACGAAAAGTCTAATTCTTGTAGATTTGGCAAGATGCCCAGTTCTACAGGTATTGAACCAGTGATTTGATTTTTGTAGAGATAAAGTTTATTTAACATAGTGAGGTTGCTAAGTTCTCGGGGTATTGAACCTGTTATTTGATTTTTCATTAGATCAAGATTGTTTAACATATTGAGATTTCCTATTTTCGGGGGGATGGAACCTGTGATTTGATTTTCAGAGAGGAAAAGTTGGTTCAACTTAGTCAGATTGGTTATGGTTATAGGAATTGGACCTGAAAAATCATTTAAACTAAGCTTAAGACTTTGCAAATGGATTAACCTGCCTAGTTCTTTCGGTATAGGCCCTGAAAGTTGATTATAAAACAGGTACAAAGTATTTAGTTGGGTCAGATTTCCAAGGGTTTTTGGTATCAGACCGCTTAAGGTGCTGTTGGTTAGCTGTAGGATTTGTAGGTTGACAAGCCTTCCAATCTCCTCAGGAATGGGACCTGATACCATGGTTTGGTCAATGATGAGATTAGTTAACATTGTTAGGTTGCCTAGAGATGCAGGGATCTGTCCTGTGAATCTGTTAAATGAGAGTTCAAGCACCCTAAGACTTTGCAGGTCTCCAATCTCATGTGGGATTTTCCCTGTGTGCTGGTTCTGCCGAAGGCCAAGTACTGAAAGTGCTGACAGGGAGCTAATACTAGCAGGTAGTGCACCATGGATACTGTTGTTACTGAGGTCAATATATTCAAGGAATGGAAGAGCCGAGAAGTTGAGCTCACCAAGCTGGCCATGGATGCCAGCATCCGGCAGGGAAATGTTGGTCACCACCCAGGGCATGCGGCGGCCATGGCGAACAGCCGTGCACATGATGCCCGTCCAATTGCACGGGCTGGTGTTTTCCTGTCAAGAGTTCATCTGCGGTGGTGGGCTCGCAAGTGTAGCTTTCCAGTGGAGGAGGGCCATGTGTTGGGACCTCAGTGAGATCCCTCCATGGCGCGCCGCGTGTGCTTCTTGCAAGAGAAGAAGGCACGGCACCAGCAGTAGGCAGAGGTACAACAATGGTGTTGAGAAAGATGGCATCTTGCTGCCTAGTGTCTGTGTGTTGTGTATTGGTTGGAGGATGTGATTCCATGGAAACCATTGATGAGTATTTAAGGAATGTCTCGTACATTGTCATGAGGTCCTCAGTCAGTCAACACACAGCAGTTGAGTGGAAGCTGCTGCTGGATGATATTCTTCAGTATCTGTCACCATCTCTGTCCCATTTTTCTTTCCTTTGGCAGCTACTGTTGGACTGCCTATTTTTCCTTCAGCGTCGCCATCTCTTACTCTATTTTCTTTCCTCATGCCTGTGGAAATATGACAGAGTAATTACTCCTTGAAAGCAATTGAAAGCAGGGATAGAAGGGTACCCACAGCGTACGCCTACTCATATCCTTCTGAATTCTTCTCCGTCTACAACTTATGCACTAAATGGACTTTTGAGTTAACATTGCGGCAGAGTTTTTATCTGATGGTAGCTCCTCTGGTTGGTTTGATAGTATTTCTTGTTTGTTTGATGATGTAATCTGTAACTGCTTCAGTTATGTCTTAAGCTATTCTCTTAAATGTTTCCCTCCTTGCTTTTCAGCTGGTACACAGAACAAAAGATTAGCTCAAGTGGTGGGGCGGCAATGCAACTATCCTTGGGAAAATTCCATGCTGAATTTGTATTGACTTTATTTTAGTAATAAAGGTTTCAGTGTTGGAATCGGGGTTAATACAAATCCTGGACACCAAGTATTGTTGGAAGCCCTGTGTCCGAGGGAATATGAGGCAGTGGCTGCAACTTGTTGAATTCAGTGTGATAATCCTGCAACTTGTTGAATTCAAGTGGCTAGCTGAAGAAACGTTCAACTTGTGGAATACAAGCGGGGAATACAGCCAAGCAAATTTTTTGGCCAACACTGACCGAAGAAAAGTTCCAAGCTCAAGTGGATTGATTTGGTAATATTCTACTTCTTCAAGCACTTTCTGCACGTCTTCCCATGAATGAGTTGATAGCCCAGCACTTTGTAGGTACAAGTAATCAGAAAGTGTGCGAATGATTATTATTGCTCCCATACTTTGGTAGCTCCAAGTGGCGCCTGTGTATGTGTAGATTAGGCTGGTTGCATTTTAAACATAGTCTCTAAGGTAGACTCATACTACCTTTACTATTTGACACACTTTCTACATTATTCTGTACGTCACTCTGTGCATGGTATTCTCTTGCCTGATTGCAAGAACTTGATGTTTTTTTCCTTCCTGATCCCAGTTGAACAATGAAATGTCTCTTTAGTATTTTTGTTTTGGAATAATAGCGAGTGATTGAGGGAGCTGCTCCCGATACGGTTGTACGTCCTGTTTTTAGCATGTCTGGTTCCACTGGCTGAGGTGAATTTTGATGATTATTTTGGTCGAATTGGTATCTACTTTTCATATAAAGAATTTATGGGGCATTGCTAGCTCTCCTGTTTTCTTCACCTGGGCCTTTTCATATGATCTTAAGTTTGTATTAGGTGCAAAGAAAAAGAAGGCTGTATGTTTGTTCCATGTCAATCTCGCCAGCCAATGCTTGAAACTAAGTAAGACACAAGGTACCGTAGCAGTAAATTATTTGTTGTTTCATGTCAGTCATTTTTCTTATAGAGCACACGACGAATTTCCAATGTTTTCTTGCCTGCGTAACTGTCGACCAAACTTCTACTGCAAGTCTGTAACAAAAGTCTATGATATACAGTATTATTCAGACTATTATGTTAGCTGATAAATTTATTGTACAAATCATCAGGGGTTGGCCACAACAACAATTGTCAACCTTCGCGACACATCTTCCTGCTCACGTGCTGCCAAATGACATACTGACGCCTGTGCAGATAGATCGTTGTGCTCAGCTGATATTTCTTATGTGCAGCAGTGCCGGATATCATCATCAGAGTTCGTGAGATGCTAAAATGTATATATGTGCATTTTTCTGAATTTCTTGGAACTAAAATGTTTGAATTCTAAAGTTTTCAAAATTAACACATCCATGAAGTCGGCCTCCATTTAGCATTTTTGCTATTAGATTGGCTATAGATGACATGACAATGAGATATAGCCATCAATCGGCTCTAGTATTATATTTGCTCTTATAGCCAACTTACGTGGCGCTTTTTTCTATGTAGAAGAGAGAGACATGAAAAAAATAAGGGAGTGGCTATCATGCAACAACCTGCCTCTACACATCCTCCCAGGCAAATACAATAAATTCAAAGAAAGGGATAGAGAAAATATAAAAATAAATGTAACAGTATTATAGCCAACCTTATCATATGAGTGAATACAAATTATATCTTTACATGACATTCTTTTTGGATTCATGAATATCTTTAAAATTTCTATTTTTTTAATTTGGAGAGTAAAAATGTCATGAACATTTAATTTTGAGTTAGTAAATATGTTTTAAATTCTCAAAAGTTTTTGAAATTTATATAAAAAATATCCCGGTGAACATTTTTTAAAATTCTGAATATATAACGAAATTTTGCCTTAGAAACGGCAAAAAATGGGGAAAAAGTTATGAGGAAATGAATGGGGCAAAATCGCTTCCGAACTGTACTACTGGGTCGTCAGCTTACTTAGGAGTAGCCGATCGCTCACTGACGAAGGGAGCAACTTTAACTGGGCGTACCAGCTTCCAGTATTCCTAGTTTTTAGGTTAGTTTTTTCCCCTTGAATTTCATGTTGTTTGTTTTATTGCGCCTTGTCGTTTTTTTCCATTTTAAAATAAAAATAAAATATTTTAAAAAATGTTTTCATCTTTCTTATAAATATTTAGGAATTAAAAAATATTTCGAATTACAGTTTTTTTGGGGGAATGAAGGGAAATGTTTAAGGTTGTCTAACTTTCTCGGAATTTTAAAAAAATCACGGCCTTTCAAAAAAAGTTCAAAATTTTCTAAAATGTTTGGAAAATGCAAAAAATGTTTCGGTTTTCAAAAAGTATTTCCGTTTAGTACTTTTTGAATTTTAGTAAAAATGTTCTGTTTTTAGAAAAGTGCTAATGTTTGAAAACTTATTCAGAATTTAAATTTGTTAGATTTTAAAAAAATAAGTTTAAAAAAGATAACAAGAAAAATGGCATGCTGTAGTGTATGGCTGCTACAGTACTTCAAGTTGCTACAGTGCAGACAAAATCTGACATAGACATCGACGCATGTGAATGTCGCTTAATGGGCCGGCCGAAATTTCTGTTTTTTCATGTTCTTGTTATGGTTTCAGTTTGCAAAACGGCAAACTGTTTAATTTTGTTTTCTTTCTTTTAAACTGAAATGATTATGTTAAACCGAACAAAACCGAAAAGCCCAGACAGGAAGGCACATCCCACGGTTCCCTCCTCCTCCTCGGGCCTGGCCCAAATTAATATTTCAGGCCTTCCTCCCCTTCAACCGTAGTCACGGCCTGACGCGAACCTGAGTCAGTCAGTCCACCCTCACACACACACACACACACACACACACACACACACACACACACACAGAGGAGAGAGCAGAGCATGGCGCTGGCGCCCTAGCTTGGTTAGGTCCTGCCTCCCGCGTCTTGCTGCGCCACAACCGCCATTGGAGCCCAAGGACGACGTCGTTGACTTGTTCTAACCCGTTCGCATCCCTGAACATTTTTGTTCAAATACATGTCAATTTTTTTAATACCCATTTTAAAATTTTCTTATACACTCTATTTGTTCTGATACACGTTGAATATTTTTTAAATAAAAATAGACAATAAAAAAGTGCATGCTTTAAATTTTTTGATACTGAAACACAATGGAGGCGATAACTGTGGGGCCAATGCATCCCCAGCTGGGCCGCGCCAACATACCATGTGGGGCCCATAGGCCCTCCACTGGCCGCCTAAGGTGGCTCTGACTCCGTCCTTTCATCAACTTTGCGATCTAATTTTTGTTTTGGTCCCCGAAAATATTAATTTCCCCAAAATATAGGCCCCCACTGGCCGCCTCAGGTGTATTAAATTTTTGAATTTCAAAGTTTTCAAATTAAGGCCTTCATGGAGGTTGGCCTCCATGTGGCATTTCCGCTATTAGATTGGCTCTAGATGGTATGACAATAAGATATAGCCATCAATTGACTCTATTATTATCCTTGCTCTTATAGCCAGCTTGCGTGGTGCTTTTTTCCGATGTACTCCCTCCGTCTCATAATGTAACCATTTTTGCAAGCCGTTTTAGGTTGCAAAAACATCCTATATTGTGGGACGGAGGGAGTAGGAGAGAGAGACATGTGAAAAGGGGAGTGTGCTATCATGCAACAACCTGCATTTACACGTGCTTCTAGGCAAATACAATAAATTTGAAGAAAGAGAAAGAGAAAAGATGAAAAAGGAATGCACTAGTCGTATAGCTAGCCAACCTTATTATACGAGTAATTACAAATTATAGCTTTACATGACATGTCAACATCATATGCCAACTGGATATACTATTAGCAAGCTCTTACAATGGGTACACACAAGCGAATTAAATACACGTGGATGCAACAATGCTAACCTGAAAATAAAGTGTCGATGGTAACAAGCTTAATCCTTGTTCGAGATGCCGAGAGAAAAATTTCTAGAAGAGAATGCTTTTAAACAGTTCAAGCATGCAAGGTAGAGCCTTCAATGGAGTACAATACATGTCTTACCCACTTATAGTATAATAAGAACTTATTGGGTTTATGGTTTCGTTCTTATTTTCTCCTGTAGGATACCCACTTAATTCTATTTCATGGCCACAAACTGATTCTCCACCAAGAAGGCTTTCTACATCCATCTCCATGTTGATTTCTATCCAAGGATGCAATGAAAGTTTCCTCAATCTGTTGAGCTCATCGGCGACCTCTTTCATGGATGGCCTCTTGTCGCCACACATATCTAGGCATTTCTTAGCCAGCTCTGCAAGTCCTACCAGCAACTCCATGCTCTCTTGGACTTTCACGTGGCTCAACAATACATCATCTAGATTATTCTCCTTCATCGCAGACAGAAAAATCAGTGCCAAGCTTCTTTGTTTCTCAGAGCCCTCGAGCTTCAGTGGTAATTGGCCCGTGAGGATCTCTAAAAGGACAACTCCGAAGCTATACACATCGCTTTTATCTGTCAACTGGCATGTTTGCATGTATTCAGGATCAAGGTAACCACAAGTACCTTGAACCATTGTGACAAACTGCTCTTTATCAGATGGAGCTAATATGGAGGTTCCGAAGTCTGACACTTTGGCCATATAGTTACCATCAATCAAGATGTTGGAAGTTTTCACATCACCATGAATTATTGGGGGAGACGCGTAGGAATGCAGGAAGTTGAGTCCTTCGGCTGCTTCATGAGCAATTCTTAAGAGAGTGCCAAAGGATATTTTCATTTTGTGCTTCTTGCCATGGATAAGCTCGAATAGTGTGCCATTTAGGACAAACTCGTAGACTAGAATTGGAATTTCAACCTCAAGGCAACAACCCAAGAGTTTCACTATATTCTTGTGATTGATTTGGGACAAAATGAGGATCTCTTGTCCAAATTCTTTCTTTTGCCTTTCGTCAACTAGTGCAATTCTTTTACCTGCATGTTGTCCTTCACTATCCCTTTATAAACCGTTCCATGGCCCCCTCTTCCAAGTATTCTACTATTGTCAAAGTTGTTAGTAGCATGCACAAGTTCAGCTTCTGAAAATACCGTGAAAGCAAGACCTTTCTCCGATCTCATCCTATCCAACAAAATCAAGCCTCCATGCTGGTGAAAATACTCCTGCTTTACTTTACTTAGTCTCCTTTTTTGACTTATCGTTTGTCTTGAGAAAATAGTTGCCATGATGATAACCACTAAGCCAAATAATCCCATTGTAACTCCTACATAGCAATAACATATGAGACAAATATTTGTTAGAGTGAGATGGAGGGACAATAAAACATACTTGATACTAGATGATTCTCCATGTGTTGCTGCGAAAACACTAAGAGACATGTAGCTATGAAATACCATTACTGCACCCTACCATTTATTTTGCTAATTAGTAACTCAATGGTTCGAGGAATTTTGCAAATAATTTAAATTAACTTTGCTAATGAAAAAATATCTCAAGTCAGACTATCGGATTAACATATTGAGATAATTGCTTGTAGTGGGGATGAACTTTGTAAGAATATGGAATTCCTTTTTTTTTTCATTTCCATAAACATATCTCCAAAAGTTCTTGTAGCATTGTATTGTTTTTCAAGAAAAAAAAAATACTTCGCTATTTACGGATAGATGACACACCAGCCAATACTTGTATGGACATATTGCCTTCTTCAATTCATATTTTCACTTTTTAATCCATCCTAAGGATCAATGCCTACCGCCAATTCTAGTCAATTTTTCATACCACATGAATAAGATGACACGCTATATATAGGATCCCTTAGATGTGGGGGCTCTTGGGGGGGTTTTCTATATGCCTCCCTAACACATGAGCTTGGGAAGTGGGTTGTTACCCCTTTCCCAATACACTACTTAGGTGTCTGACTTGTGGCTTTGCTGAATATGCCATCCCCGCCCGCTTCCTGCTCCCCGCTTAGAATTAATTCCCTTCGGTAAGATGACAATGTTCATGGTGACAAAAAATATCGGAGATTGAGTAGGTAAGTAAATGATGTCAACACTGGGGGTGTGCGAGCTTTGGAGGGCATGCATACGTCTTGAATCAACATGCCAATGTCAATTAATGCAATAAAGCTAGTCTTAATTTTGCTCTTTATCATGTAAGTCTGCCAAATGTTTAGACATGTTACGACCTGAGGGTGCGAACTAAACATTTCTTTAAAGACTAGCTAACTAATTGCCCATGCATCTCATGCATTGCAAAGAGAGCCTTGGCTCAGTGGTTGGGCATGCGGTTGTGCAACCTAATGACCTGAGTTTAATTTCTTAGAATTGACAGGTGATGAATAGGGAATTTTCTTTCATTTATTGAGGATCAAGCTTGGTGTGGGGTGGAGCCACTCATGAAGAAGTATCTTGATACTCATTTTAAAAAAATTTGAGGACCATGTTTATCTTGGTACTCATATTAAAATTGTCGTATGCATCCCTAGTTGGTGCAGAGACTGGGAAGTGAAAATCTCTCCCATTTTTAGGAGCTCTAGAAGCCGCCGGCCGCTGCGTACGCGACAACGGAGCAACAGGTCGACCAACCACCAATTCTGCACCAGGGGGCTCCTAGCTCCTAGCGACCGGGAGGGGCTCACGACCTGATCTAACGTCGCTACCGGGTCGTCCTTCCTCCATCGCCATCTCACAAAAACCTAGCCCCGCTCCTGCGTGGCTCCGCTGCGCCGCATTGGGGCGTCCCTGCCTCCCTCCTCCGGTCCCCCGCCACCACTCTCCTCTCCGCCGTCGCCGGTGACGCCGCTAGGGTAAAGCCCGAGCGGCTTGGCGGCGACGGCCTTCTTCTCGCGCGTCAGCAGCTCAAGATCACTGCGACGGTTCCGATCCTGATCTCCTCGGCGGTGATGGTGGACAATGACGGCTAGAGTGTGGCGGCGGCAGCCATGTTGCGGCCACTCAACCTCCGGTTTGGCTTCGGATCGTGCCCGAGCGGCTCGGCGGCAATGGCCTTCTTCTCACGCGTCAGCAGCTCAAGATCACTGCGACGGTTCCGATCTTGATCTCCTCGGCGGTGGTGGACAATGACGGCTAGAGTGTGGCGGCGGCGGCCATGTTGCAGCCATTCAACCTCCGGTTTGGCATCTGATCGTGGTGGCGCTCCTGGTCTTCATTTGCATCACACGGGCGCCCGGGACGGCGACCCTAGGCTTGGTGGTGGTGGTGGTCATCTCCTCCGTCGGTGGTGGTCGTCCTGAGGCAGGGTGGTCGGATCTCGAGATCCGTCATCTAGTCCCGATTGTGAGTCGGGGAGACAGAGTTGCCGGTGAAAACTGAGCCAACATCGGGCGATGGTGGCGTTCTGTGTCGTTACCTTGATGAAGGCATCATCATGTAACTACTATCGACCAACTGATATTGTTCCATGGGAAACCCTAGGATGTGGTTTTCCAGATCGGACGATGACGGCACTACGGTGTCGTTTCTCTCTTGGGAGCATCGTTTGTGGAGCAACGCTGGAAGAAAAAGGCAGGAGGTAGAACGGTTTTCTATTGCACGGAGCTTCGGTGGAGATGTCAAGTCATGGCTGACCGATAGGTGCTACGCCGTGTCATGCCTATTCGGCAGGTGCTACGCACGACAGATCTTCCATAGACTTCAAGCTGCGTCGGCTGGTGGTACTTGGTGGCATGGTGCTGCGGTGTATCGGCGGTGACCGCGACGTGCTCAGTAGTTTGCGCAGGGAGGTGGTGCTGTTGGGCGCCGTGGTGGCATCGACGGATGGCCGGAGTGGCAAGGCTGATGGAGATCTCTTTCCTGAAGATGGGTCAGCGATTCGATGATGATGACGACTTCTAAAATGTGTGCATGTGTTGTACGCTTTAAGTTTGCTGCACCAGATGTAGGTTCCGATACGTTATGTGGATGGATCAGGGACGACGCTAGTTTTAGATATGGGGAGTGAGAGCACTCCACATTATTGAGGTTGTAAGTGTGAGTGGTGGCCTCGGGTGGCTTCATGTTCGTTCTTCTCAGATCTTTGTTGAAAATTAATAAAGATGACTGTATGCATTGATTGATGCAGAGGCCGGGGGTTTTAACCTCCTTTTCCAAAAAAAAATACAACGAGGGCATACATATTCTAGTGGTTCAATATCAATCTTGTCCAACATATAGCTTACAACCATCATATTCTAGATTTTGATAAAATTAATTTGATTTGAGTATGTGTGGGGGAAGGCAAGGAAAGTTTTAATTTATTTAGGGTTTTGATAAGATTTAATTTGATTTGGGTTTCGATAGGGGAAGGCACGAAATATTAGATTGTTATAAGATTTGATTTGATTAAGTTAATACAGAATGTGGTTCTGGAAAGTACCTGTTTGATTTAGATTATTTCAAGTTACTCTATTTACGTTGATTTTTATTTTGTGTTGCCTCAGTTAAGATGACAAATTAATTAACAGAAAACCCGAAGGGGAATGTGGGCTTGGGGAGGAAAAAACTCGAGAGAGGAGGTGAGGCGAACCTACCAACTCCCCTTTAATAGTAGAGATAAAATAAATTATTTCAAATTGGAGGTGCAAAGTAGACTGTGGGGCAATATTTAATTCTATCATAAGGTTTTGCTCCAAAACAAATGCAAATGGAAGTGAATGGCTTAGCTGGTGATCTTGTTTCTTTAAGTCTTACCTATTATAAAGCCGGTGTCTGGGTTGCACGTATTGCTTTTGTCGTCAAATTTTTTCCCACCTCGGCAAGAACACCGGTGCCCTCCAACGATATTGTGGCAAATGCCGTTCGGAGGACATGGATTGTGGTCGCATTCGTTGACATCTGTAGTGAATCGGCAAAATCAGATATTAGAATTTTGTACGTGTATAAAATTAAGGGACTAAGCGTGTACATCCAGGGTGTACATGATTGATTTGCATACAAAGCTAATCAATTACTCTCCCATTCTAAATTACTTGAGTTCTATGTTCATCCCAAGTAAAATTTCTTTTAAGTGTGCCCGGGTTTATAGAAAAATATGCTAAATTTATACAATATCAAATACAACGTCAAATGTATATAGTATGAAGATATATTTTATGAGGAATCTAAAGAAACTATTTTGGTGTTGTAGATGTTCATATATTTTTCTATAAACTTGATCAAGTTGAAAGAAGTATGACTTAAGACAAAGCTAGAACTTCAAGTAATTTAGAATGTGGGAGCAGTACCTTTGCATCCGTGTGGAAGATAAGGGTTGCCTTCATACCCGTGGACACAATTGCATGTGTACCCGCGATCATTGTTGGAATTCACACACTTGCTGTTGCTGCTTACACATGCGTAAGTACCTGTGCTATTTCGTCGGGCGTCATCACATGAACTCACATCTCTTATAGCCCAATCAACCACTAGAGGCACCCGCCCCTGATATGTGTCATTGAACTCAGTATTTCTTATGTACGAAGCTCTAAAGTTGAATTCAGCTGTCTCCATCAACACAGCATAGCTACACCGGTTGAACTCCCAGATCTGACTTGTGTTGACCGACTTGAGGAAACTTGTATGGTAGTAGGGAATCTTCTTCGGTATCGTAGTCTGGGAGCACCCGATACCGGAGCAGGATCCGTCCACTAAGTCTGGCAGACCGTGACATGTTGCGATGCCGAGGGCTTGGTAGCCTGTGCCTGTGCCTATGCCTGTGTCCTCGGCGTCGCTCATGGAGGCAAGGGCATTGCATCCGATGACCGTGAACTTGTTGTCTACGTCAGAGAGCCGATAGGGAAACGAAGGAGAACGACTGATTTTGTTGGTATCCATGGAATTGCCGAATTCCTCCATGTTCGCGGTGGAGTTGTTGTAGCAGTACCCCATGATGTTATTCAACACCCTGGCCGTGCTTTTAGTCAAGGAGATGCTGAGAACCTCTAAACTGTACTTAAATGGCTTCCTGATGCCATCTTGGACCTTGCAGTTTATGTCAAAGTCTTCGCCGAACGAGCAGCCCGGATCAATACCGAATGGGTACGGTATGTCAACATCGCCGCACCGCCTTCGGCACTCTGAACCCGGAACCGCAGTTCCATGGGCGTATTGTGCTGCAAGCAGTGCAAGAGCGAGGCCAAGATGCAACAAGGTTTGCATATTCTTCAGCTGGAGAATAAGTAAACACGACACTGTCAAAACTAGATCGACACCATTGTTTCAGAAAAAAAAAAACAATCATAGCATAAAAAAGGGGGGACCATGGTCATTTTTAAAATTTTCCATGACACCTAAGCTAGACCTGTAGATGAACTGGTAATGAAGTTGCCAACATGGTACCTGGATGCTTCAACCAACACCCTACACCCGTAGATGCATTCGCAGGATTAGAATTCATTTGCACTCTAGTTTGAAGGAAAATTTCCATCCACCGAAAACTCTTGGTAGAATTACTTTGTTTTTCATGTATTGTCAAACATTAATTGATCCAAATTCCTACAGGTTTCTAATTCTGTGTTTTTTCCTATTCCCAAAGATGCCCCTAGAATACATAGATCTTTGCAGGCATGCTTATCTCTCCAAGTGGCAAGTTATGAAATTCCTTCGGATGCCAATTTTTTGTTCCTTCAGCATCAGCTATATACACAAGTCCATCATTCCTCGGAGAAAGGCAAGGGTGATAGACACCAGTTTTTTTTTCCCTCTATAGCATAGTACTTAACAAAAAAAAAACAGTATCCGCTGTGAAGGAACAAATCCATTTCTAGTGAAAGGTTGTTTTTTGCTCTATAGCAAAGGAGTACTTAACACACACACAAAAAAAAAAAACAGTATCCGCTGTGAAGGAAAGGAACAAACCCATTCCTAGTGAAAGGTTGTTGATGAACAAAATCATTCTACTTACGCGCACAGGCCGCAACACAAGCTCTGAAGAAAAGGGCGTCTTTAGAGCTCACCTGAAATGATGAAGGGTTTCAGATCTCCTCGATCGAGTGGAAGAAGTATCTTATTTTGCTGAGATGTGCCTAGCTTTCCTAAGACTACACCACCGGAGCTTGGGCAGTTGTGTGTTGTGAGAGTACTCGTGTTGTGACTTGTGAAGAAGAGCTAACAGTAGCACGCTAGATTATATACGCATACATACAAGAGAGGGCCTCTATCTCAGGTCGCTTGTCTTTCAATTCCATGGCGGAAATAAGCAGAGTGGACTTTGCTCGATCAAGTTGGCAATACTATATATGATGAATTAAATTTGCCAAGAAAACAATTGATCACGTAACATCCATGACAGTAGCAGACTTGTAATGGTTCGCGAGTGTGGTTACATTTGTTCAAAAAAATTAAATTGTTCGAAAAAAGAAGCACCTATGACAGCAGCAGACTTTGCTAATCCATTGGAGCAGGCATGTAGGAGTATATTCGATGGGTGTAGGTATGTTGCTGTGGTAAGCCCACAAAAGTCAGCTCCTGTGGCGTTATCATCCTCTCGCAGGCAGTTCGCTGGGAATTGCTGGTTGGAGTTTGCATATATATAGTTTTGATTCTTTTCAATCCAAAATTGCAGTTTAATTAATTTGGGATCCGGAATCGATCAGTGGCGTGGGGGCAAGTACTACATATTACATGAGCTGCTCTAGTTTTCTTCAGGGTCGTAATATCTATCTAGTTACTAAGCTCCCTTCAAATCCTTGCCTCTGGTGGCTCAGGGCTGAGGGGAGCGTTGTTGCCCCATTTGTCAACGTATGTCCATTGCTTAAGTGTGTATGTGTATTAGTACTACGTGTTATCTTTTTTTGTGAAATAGTACTATGTGTTATTGTATCTCTCAACTGCAAAGATATGTATATTATACTCCTATTTCTTTTTACTTCATGTATACATGGTCTTAAGTCAAACTCAGTGTAAGTTTGACCAAGTTTCCAGAAAAATATTAGCACGCACAATACAAAATCTATCATTTGATCTATCACACAATTTTTTTTCTAAATATAACTTGATTAGACTTTACAAAGTTTTACTTCAGAGAAATCTAATACGCGGAGTAAAAAGAAACAAATGCAGTATATAAGAACATCACACTGTGATTCTCATTTTCTAGCTAGCTACCCACAATATCACATGCCTGACTTTTTAATGTGCATGATTGATTTTTAAATATTTTTTCTCATTTACAAAAAATAATCAGTAAGAGCGTCTACAGCGGACGCCACAAACCATCTCTCAAATGCTCGCGGACGCGCCCGGTCAGTGCCCTGACAGGAGAGAAAAGGAAAAAAGTTACCCAACCAAATCCCTTATATCTTCCCTATATGTCTAGGCTGTCAACGAACCCTCATATCAATGTCAAATATAGGGAGGATATGAGGGCTCGTGGACACGCCCGGGCGCACCCGGTCAATCCTCCACGTAGGATGCGGCACCGCCCCGGACTATATTTTTTTATTTATTCTTTTCTTTCTCTCTCTTCATCTCCACCAATCGCGTGCAAGTGACGGGACATATGAGGAAGAAAATAAGAATTGCGGCTGCACAGATGAGCTAATAGGGGCTCAAAATGGACCCCGTCACTAACCGGGCACGTCCGCGTGTGTTGAGGTGTGGAATTAGAGGTACGTTGCTGAAGATGCTCTAAACATGACCAAATGTTCCCTAGAGCCGAATTGAAACTCTCACAATTTCATAATGTAGTGCATTTTTAAAAAAGTCAAACCACACGAAATTTGACCAAGTTTTCTGATAAAAACATTTACATCTATAATACCAAGCATATATAATTAGATTCATTATAAGAAGTATTTTCATATTCAGATATTTAGAATTGCAGATATAAATTGTTTTCTCTATAACCATGGTCAAAGTTTCCAAACTTTGACTTTAATATAATAATCTATATGCACTATATTATGGAACATGAGAAGTATTTGAATTGATACCTGGATGGCTCTGTCTTTTATAATGCATGCAAGAGGCCGATGACAGATAGCTCATCCAACTTGATTGGTCGACGCATTCCATTCGGTGGTAACATGCACGAATCATCCAATGAACTAACATTTTAACCTATGATCAACAATACTATGTAAGATAATTAACTACCGATTATGGACAATAAGTGAGCAGACTATAATAAAACCATGTAGAAAGTAAATATGCGAGACTTAACTCACGACTGAAGAACAACGTGACAAAGTGCGGACGCGGCAAAGCGCGTGTGAGAGTCTAGTAATTGTTAAACTCAGACTAGCAATGAACCTAATTAGGGTCAGCGTAGTGATCTCATCTGATCCGGCCTTTGGGCGAACTGAAAGGAAACGGCTGCAAGTACGTAGCGACGTCCTTGATGTCCTAGAACGGATTTTCTTTTGGCTCTATAATGTACAAGGATTTCCATTTCATCTTTATTTTTTCCATGCGTATAGAGGCGGCTAGCAAGCACTGTCCACAGGGCTGGTGTATGTTAAGCATGTGGAGGCAAAAAGGGCAAGGAAAATATAGACGACTTTCTCTGTCAATAGCTGAACCACCATATAATGGACAGGAATAATCTGGTGAGAATGTGTTTTTTTTCCTTTGGAGCAATTCCCCTGTGTTGGCTGTTGAGTCTATCCTGAACCTTGGGAACGGGGTCGTCCAGGGGTGGAAAGGATGTGCCTATCCTGGTTCCAAGAGTAATTAGGAACATACTCCCTCCGTCCTAAAATAAGTGTCTCAACTTTGTACTAACCTTAGTATAAAGTTGTACTAAGCTTGAGACACTTATTTTTGGGACGAGGGAGTATTATTTAATCTATGGAGCAATTCACTGGTGCTGAGTCTATCCTGAATAAAATTATTACCATAACAATTTGAGGGAGGGGACACCTTGTAAGACTTTTTTGACATGAAAGCTATTACCTGATCAGGGATAAGACCAAAAATCCTTCTCTCCACTGTTTAGAGGCAGATTATTATCCAACAAAGCCAACATTGACTACACTTTTTTATTGTGGGGGACATTGACTGCATTGATCACTAAGGGCTTGCTTTCCTGGTAGGGCTTGTTCGGTTAATCCCCCCCACACGGGGATTGGAGAGAATTGGAGGGGATTGTGTGGAGGGTTGTGACTTGTAGGGGATTTAATCCCTCTCAATCCCCTGCAAACCCCTTCAAATCCCAAAGAACCGAACAAGGCCATATGGATGTGGCGATCCATATGCTTGTATTAGATTGTACTGTCGGCAATAAGTCGTGACGGAGCATGGTGCGACCGGTGTCGGTGCGCCAGGTCGGGCCGTGGCGGTGCGACCTGTTAGTATAAATTCAGGCATACCGTCGATCATCCGAGGATCAAGCAATCACACGAGCACGACACCGAGATTTGTTAACGAGGTTCACCGATATGGCTACATCCCCGGGGCCTGACTATGGGCGCTCCTCCCCATGACACCGCTACAATACCGCACCCAGTCGCCCTGGACACCGGCACATGCCGCCGGCTTCCCCTGCGTTCCGGTGCTATTATGTTGGCATATGTTACATCGTGTGTCTAGCCCCGCTATATATGAGAGGTCTAGGATACAAGTGTCCTACTTGGACACGACTCCATATCCTATCTAAACACAATACAACTACAAGTCCAACTGTAACCTACCTTGTACACAATATTCGACACAACTCTAACAAACTCCACCTTGGCGAATATTCTCCACCACCTTGAATTCGCCAATGCGTCAAACTTCCATGTACATTGGACTTAAGCTTATCCCATGAGTACCGCTGCTACTCCAAAGACTCCATATGACTCCACCTGCAACTTGTAGTTCCTTCTTTTCTTGACTACAGTCAACACTCGAGCAAAATTAAGTTCCTGGTTACTCTAGTTTGTGCTCCCAACTTCCAGAGTATCAGTCCAACGCCATCACACACCAATCACTGACCTGCGTGAAAGTGAACAACTCACATATTGGGTGTCACACATAAGAGTTACCTGAACTCAATTTCACCACTCCTTTCTTGACCGCCTATCTGAAACTTGAAGGAATTTCACCATTGCTTGTAGTCATCCCGAGTCAAATTCGCAGTTGTCTCACCACATGTATGACCACCAGAGCCCTGGCCCATCTCCATGTCCCGTGCGTACCGCACGCCTCGCCGCTATTACCGCGTCGAGCCTCCGCTG